TATACAGTTTTACAACTTATAGTACTGAGACTACTTACTCAAGTCAAATGATTACCAAAATTTAGTTTTTATAATAACTATCGTAACAAATACTAAGTTAACTTAAAAAAACGGGTTACTCACGTGAACATACTGAGAAAAGCCCTACTAGTTTCGAACCACACAGTGGTTCTTTCTCGTCGCGCGGCTTACCAAACATGTTGTATAAAATCGAACAAAATATAATGTAGTTAACGAAATAACTAAATTCTATTTTCAAGAAAATGTCCTATTCTGGGAACAAAATTAATTATAGAAAAAGAAAAAAAAATGATTAAATTGTTTAAATTTTAACCTAAAAAATAATGCAACAAAATATAGAAGGTTCATCGTCGGCAAAGATTCACAACTAATTACATTAGCTACTAGTTTTTATCGTAGCACTTTTAATTAAGCAAGTTAAATGTTAAATAAAAGGTGAACAGATGGTACCTACTAATTAAAAATCCCGCAGTACCACTATCTTTCACAACAGTCGATTGGAACGTTTAATATTAACGTTTCTTTTTTTTACTTTTATAATTTACTTTTACAAAATCACGTGTCAGTTGTGATTTATAACGTAGAAACATGTTTTTAAATTGAGTTAAGAATGAACTTAAGACTCTGACGACGTTCTATAGATTGATTCTAAGAAAGAAATAGTATAAATTTCAATCCTCAAATAGGAAGAGGTGCATGTGCAAGCCCCATGTGATAAAAGATGAGCCTATGACCTCATCATTAACAGCTTATAAATGCCCACTGCTGAGCGAAGCCTCTTCTCACATGGATAAGGTTAGAGCATTAATCACCACGCTTGCTCAATGCGGGTTGGCGATTTCAAGCTTATAATTAGAAATTATAAGCCCAGGTTTCCTCACGATGTTTTCCTTTACCGTTAGTCAGTATCTAAATAATCTTAGAAAGTACATATAACTCGGAAAAGGTCACATTGGTACTTGCCGTTGGTAGGTTCCGAACCTGCACCCTCGTGCATGAGAAGCAGGCGTCTTCAACCTCAAGGCCACCACAACACATCTATGACCACCAGCCTATGACCGCATGCGTAATTTTTTTATTCAATCCACACATTTGCAATAAGTCACTGAATTAGTTTTGTCTTCTCAATCTCTTACGCAGCATATTTAGGATATCTGAAAACTTTATACAAATGCGAGTTTCATTGGAGTAATTTAAAACATTTTTATTAAAAATTTTCATTCACCTGTTTCACCTAGGCAGACGTTTAGAAAAACTCGAAATGTAAGTAAAAAATATCTTAACTTGTTTAGCAGCGCTGTAATTGCGAGGGCTGCCAAGATAAGCTCGTTTCTTTTTAATTTTGCTTCTTGAAATTACTTCAATTCCCGCCTTGAATAAATGAAGACTGCACAACGTACTTTAGACGTTTTTTTTTTAATTTGTTTTATTACCCTGAACCAGATCTGGGTAAAGTTCTCGAGAGCTTTTAGTTGTAGGTTTGATTAACTAGCGTTAAGAAGGTTAAGAAAAATATCCGGCTAAGTGCTACCGTGGACTGTACTGCGTTTTAGAGGAGAGAATTAAAAGTTTCGTCTTTTGCTAGTTGGGGAATTCATTTGGTTCTGTATTTGAATGATTTAAAAGTAATGTATAGATATTAACTATATAATAAATAACTAAGGCTAAGATAAATAAAAACTAAAGTATTTACAACTAAAATAGGGATGATGACAGGTTATGAAAATTAAAAATGTAATTAGTCTGTCAGTTGATAATGAAAAAATATTGCATTAATATAAGAAAATAATACTTAGACAAAACGCAAAAATCAAAGTTCAGGAGTGGGAGGTAGCTACGTCATTTTAGAGTATAAATCGTACTCAAAAGTGACGTTGTGAGATACATATTTCAAATCAATATAATTATCTTCGAAACTATTCGTTTTCGTAAGAAAATAAAAAATACGTGTCTGATGTCTTTAAATAATCTACCAGACGGACATTTAAATAAAAATTAATCATGTAACCTATTAACATAAGAAATATAGAAAAATGGGATATTGAAAGAAAACAAGCAAAACTAACAGAAAGCGTCAAAAAATTATCCTCATCGTGGTCTTGAGGTGAGTGCCTAAAAGACTGGCAGCATTGCCACTTTGGACGGCACAGAAGAATTTGAGAGTATATTAAGTACGTGGTTGGCGCAGTGACTGAAGCTGCTGGTGCGTAATTTATCGTGAATTTGCTTCGCATGGAATAATTCTTTTTTCTACCTATTGGTGTTACGGATCTGGAAGTGACGTGTCTGTAAATTTCTATGCCAGTCAATGTAAGGTCAAAGGTCAAAAGTCCACTGCCACCGCTGCTATCGGCTGCACTGCAGCGCTTATACACACATGCACACGTATATTTTTATCCGTGTGCGTACGCGTGCGTGTGTTTATGCGTACGTACGCGTTTTTAAGCACATTAATATGAAATTACTTACGCATTGCCTCACGGTGGCAGTGGACTTTTGACATTTGCCTGTACTTACGAATATGATAGCAACAATAACAATCTCTTATAACATGCATTAAAATATTCGAAGAAATATTAATACAATTTTCTTTAGCATTCGATTTCAACATTTCAATTTGCTGTGGAATATTAATGATAAACAGACGGCAAACACCGCAGGTGTTACTTTTTACCTCGATGAAATCAATTTCTTATATTAAAAACATATTGCGCTTCAACGACTTTTCATAGAAAATTATTGGTTTTTTTTAAGAGGAGATAAAATAAGAAATATTTCATAAGTAAGCACTAGAATATAAAGTACTAGATACATATATAGTACATTATAAATGCGATCAAGAACATGCTTATTATGCTGCATATTTTCTTTTGCTTTTTTCCAGTGTTGTCGATGTGATTACAAATGCATTTTTTTTTCACATATACAATGTACCTAAATCGGATACAAAAGGTATTAATAAACAATAATCAAAGAATTACTCCATGCGAGAATCAAAGCTGCGACAGATTCTACTGACTAGTCTTTGTGAATACAACCAATGATTGATTGATTGATTGATCAACCAATAATTTGTTAGGTATCATTCAATGATTGGTGAATTTGGAAGATCAATTTAATATGTCATAGAAATGAAAGATTTGATTGAATAAAATGGCAAATGGCCAATCACAGAGCTTGATAAGACAGCGTTTGACAGTGAATTAATTTAATTCTGATTTGTGATTTAAGACATTTGACATTAACATAGATCGCAACGATAAGGTTGTCCTTTTTATATTTAACTTGTAAACATTGGTAATTTTTTACTAGAAAAACGATTTGAACACCATACATCCAGTCGCGTACAATTACGTGCCCACCTATTTAGAAATACAATTCAGAAATCATACGTAGGTAATAGGTATATTAAAAAAAAGTCAAAAGTCAAAGCATTTATTTCAATTAAATCATACTTTTGAAACGTCAACAAATACAAAATAGTCTGTCAGTCAGTTCGTCAGTGAAGCTATGTGCTCATTTCAAAATGTAGATTCATGAGCAAGAAACGCCGTTCGTTACTCTTTTATAAAAAAAGTCAGTTCTACACTGTCTGTGATTCATATTCCAATACTAGACATATATATTTAAGAGAAACGTGTTTTCATGGACTAGTTCAGTGCTACATTTCATCCAAATGAGAGAATTGAGAGACAAGACAGTGACCAACATCCAAGCAATCTTGCGGAATAATAGTAAGACTGACTAGATATAAAGCCACTTGGGACATACAGCGTCAGGTATTTTTTGCTACATTTTCTGTATAAACCCTGCACATGCGCTTCCTTTTGCATCATACCTACGGGGTTGGCAGACATCCAGGTAGCATCGAGCCACTTCGAAACAAAAGTGTATCAAAAACGTTTTTGCAAAAATATTGTATTTTTGTGCATTTACTCGTGAAAATGTTCAAAATATTGTTTTGATTGTAAAATTTACTTTTCAAGGTACGCCCTCACCGGAAGCATTCGCGTGTAATGTAACGTTACAGGTCTGAACATTATTACATCAGTGAAGGAGGAGAACTGAGCATTACAATGCGCACTTTGTAATGATACAATGTGTAATATCTTGATACAACTTGTAACATCAATGTCTGACATCTTGCTATGAAATGTTCAAAGTCAAATCTACATGTTACATTACATGCAAATGCTCGTTAGTCAGGGAGGTATTATTGTAATGTAATGTTCAAAGTCGAATCTATAATGTTACATTACACATGAATGCTCCCAGTGAGGGAGCACCTTTATATGAGCAAAAATGGACGAAAATTCATGAAATGTTTGATATGGGGATTGTTATTTTGGAGAACAAAAATAGAAACGGTACAACTTTAACAAACAATATTTTATTTATTTTTAATTATAAAAATATACATAGGCATATTTGTCTTTATTTTATTTCAATTTAATACACAATCGAGTACAATGAAATGGATAGCCAATTGCAGAATCAGACTTTACATCCATCAGTGTCCTTTTCATCAATTTTATTGTGGGAATATTTAATGTTAGCACCGTTATACATGCCTATTACTTAAAGTAAATAGATTGATTTGAGTACTATATCATCAAAAGAAAAAATATACTGACTTAAATGTCGCCACTGCCACATTCTTAATACTATACAATTAGGAAAAAACAGAGCCACTAGCCATTGTTTCATTTTATTGAACCTAAAATCAACGAACAAAATACTCTCATTTCAAAGGTAACCAAATAGCCATTTATTTCATATTTTTTTTATACCAGGACTGTGGTAAAAAAGCATACGGGCCACCTGATGGTAAGCGGTTACCGTGGCCTATGTACGCTTGCAACACTTATGTATACGACATACGTCACCGATTAATAAAATACTTGTAAGAGAAAATATTTATAAAGAAACTAGCTTCTGCCCGTGACTTCGTACGCGCAATCTCGTTTTCTTCCGTTCCCTTAGGATTTTCAGAATTTTTTTCTGTCATAAGAACCAAATCGGTCTAGTCGTTCTCAAGTTATGGTGTGACACCGTTGTCAAATGCCATTTTTATATATATAGATTAAAAAGAAAAAACGCTAGCGGCTCCGTTTCTATACTCCCAAGTGTAGTTTTATAGCCCTTCTTTATAATGGCGGTATTTTTCCCCAACTACATAGCGTAACGTATTACATACTATCCAGCGTTCCAGGCTTAGAAGACGGGAAGCTATCAAAGAAGGCTGGGAAGTCAGAATCCGTGTCCCTATTGCTTATATAAAAACTATCTTTGTTCTTATTACGGTACGGGTAGTAGGTATCCTCGTGCATATATTTTGTATGCTTATGGCAGTTTCCATCTCGCCATAGGTTTAGATCAGGACCCTCTATGTGTGTGCATGGGACTGGCATGTTTCTGAAAGAGGTAGTTATATGTTTTTTTTTATTATCTATCGTGAGACATACTAAATTAACTAAAAATTACGAGGAAGTACAATGCGAAAAGTTGCGCTAGTTTCGAGTCACAGAAAAATATGACGATGAAACCAGATGTTCAGTAAGCTGTGCGACATCGACGCGCACGCTGCTCTTCAGGAAGAGTCCCTCTGGTACTCGAAACTAGTAGAGCTTATCTCAATATATTTACGTAGTAACTCGTAATTTTTAGTTAGATCATTATATCATATGTATTACATACATTAGTTATTATTATTAAGTTGATTAAAGCTTAGTATTGCATTAGTCGTTAATCAATGAATTTATCAAAGGTTCGGTAAGAGTGTTTGCGATTATTTATATGTCAAATAGTAGTACGTACCCAGGTTTGACATTCATGAAAGCATTAGCCTGAATGTATTTGATACCCTCGGCATTGTCGCAGGCAAGCCTAGCCATACTGGTCCTCCGTATTTCTTCCAGTTGCTCTGTGGATATATTTTAAATTAATGAGAGGAAAATCCAAAAAAATTTAACACCGTACAAAAAAAAAAACTGCAGCCTTTTAAAATAATGTATTTGAGCGCTATGCTATTGCACACGCACGCACGCACACACACACACACACACACACACACAAACACACACACACACACACACACACGCGCACACACACACACACACACACACGCACGCACACACACGCACATATGGTAAACATTTTGACAACTGATGAAGTCAATCATATTTTTGACCTATCAAGAATCGAACTAGATTCACTTGTTTTCCTAACATGGACTTACCCAAAGTAAAGCTGTGGAACTGGTCGCCTCTTTCAAACCAGAATCTATCAGAGAATCTAAAGATCTGCAGCTGTTTCGTCATAATGCAGAACAGCGTGGGGCCCACGTGGACGCCTTGGAGGTGGTTCTCTGACATGATGCCAGCCAGTAAGTCCACATCATCGACATTTTCGTACAGTCTTTTTAGGGCTTCCACTTTCTAGAAAAAATAATACGAAATTTGATGGTAGTTAATCTACCAAAAGTATTTTATGATATTATATGTATTTATATTTTATATACTTAAATTTAATTTCTGCACAAAACATAAATATCAAAATTCATATCACCCAAAAAGTCTTTGACATATTATTAAGATATAATTATGAAACAAAGTATTACACGTTTTTATAATAACTCTCGTGCGACATACTAAATTAAAAACGCGGGTTACTCACGTGAATATACTGGGAAAAGCTCTACTAGTTTCGAACCACAGAGGGGTTCTTCCTCATGAGCAGCGTGCGCGGTCGCGGCGACGTCGCGTAGCTCACTGTGAGTAGAGCTTTTCTCAGTATATTCACGTGAGTAACCCGCGTTATTACTTAATTAAGTATTACACATTAAAAAAATTGTACCAACAACTATCAAAAAACTCTTCCTCAGGAACGTTTCGTCACATTAAACAGCTAAGTAAAACTTAGTAGCTTCGTTAACTGTCACATAAACAGCTCCAAAATGCTCGTCTAAGAGGCAGTGCTTTAGTTAATGTTTAGTCTTAGTAATAAGATATTACTACAGACTTGATAAGCAACTTGATATAAGGGAATGCAATTTAATTAAAGAGGAAGCTTTAGAACGCCTTCAAGAAGACTAAGTAATAAGACTGTAATCTTCTAGACGAGCGACAAAGAACTATCTTTGAATTTCGTAAGATAGTATTATAGAAAATGTTCACTGTTTTATGGCGATTCTTTGTGATCAAAGTTTTAACATCAAATTTCGATTAAAACCATAATAAATAATACATTAATTTTTTATGGGATAATACAGTAAACAAGTAGACGGATCACCTGATTGTAAGCAATCGACGTCGCCCATGGACACCTAGAACACCAAAGGCGTTACAAGTGCATTACTGGCCTTTTGTGGATTAGGAATTTGAGGATTGTTGTTGATTGAGGAGATTGGGGAAGGGTAGGGGGTAATTGGGGCTGATCAGTCACTACCTAGTTTTACACTTTTTCGCGTTCGTATAGACTACAGACAGACGCGAAAGGAGCATAGTGCTATATGTATAGAACCACCAACACCTGTATAGAAATGGGTTGAAAACGATATAATTATACAAGGTGTAGTATTGAAACCGTGGTCTTTCTCGGGGGCATGTCACAGAAGTCATAAAGGTTCAATGTAAGAGAAAGTTTCGGGCCAATAGTTAAAAATACGGCTATAATAAATCGTTTAAGTTCGACAGTATTTCGGAATAAGCGACAGCAATGTCTCTTATTGGAGTTTTATAGAATTAGGAATAATATCAATTACGTGTTTGAGTTTGTGTGTGTTAAGCCGCGTTATAAAACTAGTTACAAGATGGCGGCATGTAGTTCGCACTTACGGATTTCCGTTATTTACAGAAAAATTAAAAATATTTACCTACAATTTTTTTATTGATTCGGACTCAGAATCGACGGCCGAGTTACCTCCTAGAAAATGACGCGGCTTTAAAACAACACCTTGTATATGTAGAAATTGAATGCTACAAGCTATAATTACACTTCTGCTACCTACGTACTACCTCCGAACAACTTTAACAGAAACGGATTGACTGATATTAAACTGTAATCACGTAATGAAGACGTGTATCCAACAATAGAATAATGACCCATATACATAATATAATACGATTGTTAATTATTCATGGGTTTCTGTAATGTATAATACAGTATACGGTGTATTGTTCCTATGGTAGGTATAAGGTTGATACTGAAATGTATGTCTTTGTCAATAATTGATAGAATAAGGTTACATTCAATAGCGAATATTCAGAGGGTTATTATTGGTTATGATATTAATTTATGGGAATTAAATTAGCTATCTTCTGTATGATACTAGTGTAGCAATAAAGATTATAGGCCGTATGATGGTAAAGTCACCGCAGTCTAAATATGACTTCACGACGTGAGGAATTATCTTGATTTTTTTATATTAGATGGGCCGATATTTGACCACTATCTCGCCTGGTGGTAAGCGATGATGCGGTCTTAAGGATACCCTTCTGGAAATATAGACTTTGGTAAAGAATTCCACTCCTTAGCAGTACGCACAAGGAAGCTTAATGCGAAGCGTTTGTTTAGTTTATTAAAGTGAAAACTAAAATTGTAAACATCTTAGGCAAAATATCAAATAGACAAAACAAAGTCTCTTAGATAATCTTTTTGTACGTATTTATACTTTTATTTAAAAACTTCATAAGGAATAATTCTTCTATAAACTACGTATAAAAAACCGTCTTCACACCCTTTCTATTTGAGGCCGGTTTATTGATATACTAATACCCTCTCCTAAATGCTACAAATACTTTTTTGAAAATCGTTTCGATCGTACATACTTACCTACATACATATAGGTCAAATTGAGAATCTCTTTCTGTTTTTGAAGTCGGTTAAAAATAGATAGTGTTTACCTCGATCTCCATAACATCGATGAAGTCTCTGAACTTCTTAGCTGGTTTCAGTCCACACAGGTGCCTGTAGTCGTTATAACCACGCACCCCCATATCTCTCCCCCTTTGTATATCCAAAGCTGGTAAGTCATGGGCTTTTTGGAGTTTTCCATAGTAATTTTCTGAAATCTAAGAAAAGAACTGTAGTACGTACATATTGGGGAACTGGACATTATATCCATGCTGATCTGAAGTTGTTGTATAAGTTTATATAATTATGTCTTTTTTTTAATTTAGTTCTTAATCCATTAAACGCCATGGGGCGCAGACCGACGTTAGCGGAAGATTTGTCTTTTGACAGTTTTCTATTGGCAGTCAACACTTTAATACCTTATACATAATACATAACCTCATGCCTGTCTCACATGTGGTAGGCAGGGACTACCTATGGAACGCCAATGGCTCTTTGGTTTGGTTTGGTCAGTAAAAGTATACAGTACCGTTACTATAATAATATGTTCTAAGTATGTGAAACCTAAAGTAATCTAATTGGTAATCAAATAATTTTATCTACACCCGTTTAGATATATACAAGTTTATATATTTGTATATCATTTATACTTCTACATTAAAAAATAGTTTAATATTGTAAACAACGTACATCTGGATCCTGAATGTCATCAATTTTTGCAGCGTACTGATGGAAGAGACCTCGGTTGAGTTCTTCAAAAATATTTCCTTTCTCTAGAAGACCTGATCTGAACATAGTTTCACTGTAGGAGTACTCGTCCTTGTAGTGATAGGCTTCTGTATAGGTTCTATAAGGAAGTTTTATTAATGTTAATGAAAGCACCAAATTTGTATTTTTCGTGGGAGAATAATACCTAATCTCTATATCTATGCTTGGCAGGCAGTTTAGGGATCGCAGGATAAAATTTTAGGTTTATCAGAGATTTAGGAGTCGTCACCCTCGGAAAAAGTAGGAAACGTGCTATACCTATATATTGTATTCTCGTCTGATGCCGCTGCACAGAAAAAATAGTGACGTTATTATAAATTTTCTACATGTCTACTTACTTAACTCGTCCTTCTAGGAAAGTGTGGAAGTATCTGACTGCGATGTCGTACTCAGCGTACACGAGGGGCACGGCTTCAGCGTCGTACGTGGTGACATGCTCCACGTTTTCTGATATGACTCCGTAGTTCACCATGTTTCTAAAACCTATTTATAAAAAAAAACATAATCTTCAAAAAAATAATTGTTGAAAAAATTATCATAACGTAACATAACATCAGGCCTTTAATTCCCGAAGGGGTGGCAGAGGTGTTCATTATGCCACTGTACAATGTAACACCCACTTTTCACTATTTACGTTTTAGGGAACAGAGAGTATAGTTCCCTAATATCGGAAAAGGAGAATCCTCCGACCAGGTGAGGTGATCGTGCCTGGCGGGCTTTCTGCCCAACAATTGTTTGTTGGGCTTTTCTACTCGTGTTAATTCGATTGTAAACTTCGCATGTGCGATGTAGGATTTTATGACGTCATCCGTTGACATATGTCGCCACAATGTTATACGTCTCATGTAATAGGGGGTGAGCCTATTGCCACATACCGGGCACAATTCCAGACTCCGTGCTTCGACTGAGATTTTTTTAAAAACCTAGTAATACTTTGCCCGACTCGGGAATCGAACCCTCCCGGGTAAGGAGGTTCCCTTTTCCCGGCAGTCGCAGTTGCAAACACTCGACCAACGAGGCATTCATGTGAGAAAAAAAAATATCATAATCATATAATATTCTGTACTAATTTGCTTTGGTTTCCTATTACGATATTATTTTGTCAATTCAAGATACAACCAACGCGTATTTTACAATAATGACATATTTTGAAAACAATTTACTTCATCCCACATGACATCATGGTCTCGAGTAACTTTTGAGTCGCAATTCTGTTTTGTCTGTTCACTTACTTTGATCAAAAACCACCTTATAGAACACCCTCTTTTGTTTCATATCATTCCTCATCCATCTTTTCTTCGGCACAAAGATCAAAGGATTTCATTGTAAAACGTTCGTCACTAATAAATTACGATGGTACAACAATTCAGTACTTTGTTTTACGTTTGTTTTCTATAGATGGAAGGTTTGATAACAAGATGTAATTAACAAAAGCTAATAAACAAAAGCTGAAGTCGAGAAATTCAATTAATTAAAAGTTTCTACCGTTGACAATATTCATGAAGCTAAGAAAACTTTGGGAGAACTTTAAGCCTGAGCCTTACCTAATAAAGCAGGTAGCAACTCATACATGAAGATGTTAGAAGCCGTTGCAATGTTGATCTGCCGTGCTACTTTGAACAGTCGGTCGTCTTTCCAACAAGGATTTATTTTGTGAAGAGCTCGAGCTAATCTATTGTGTTCTCTCATAAAGAATATCGTTAAAGCCGTCGTTCGAAGGTCGTAATTACCGACTTCTGGGAATCCTGGGAATACAATAAATATTCAGTGTGATTAATCAAAATAACTGTTCATTTCGGAGTTTAAGGAAATTGTATATCAAGTAATACAATATATTTTAAACTAGCTTCGGTCCGCTACGCCGCTTCGCTATCTTGTTTTTTTCCCGTGCATGTTTATCGGGAAATACTCTGATAAAAAGTAACCTATGGCTGTCTCCTGGTTCTAAGCTACCTCGCCACCAATTTTACAGCCAAATGGATTTAATGTTCTTGAGTTTTATAAATATTTTTTTTAATTTTTTTTTAAATGTTGCCCCACTCTAGGATTTTCTCCTGTGTCGTGGGTGCGTTTACAAACATACAAGTTCACATACACATGACACCCAGACCCGAAATAACAATTTGTGGATCACACAAAGAGTTGTTCCGTGCGGGAATCGAACCCGCGACGCGTTGCACGGCAGCCGGTTGTCCAGCCACCGCATCAACCGTGCAGTCAATAATATAGATTAGTTTCAAGAATACTATAAATACAATGCTTTCTCTATAAAGATACTTACCGAATTTATAACATAAAGTCTCAGTATCATTGTTCTGTAAACATACTTGCTCTGTCGCATTAGGTATGAGATTTGTCACCATATTAGATACCATGTCGACCATTGAATTGGCCAATATATTTGCAATGGTGTCCACAAGTACGTCAGCGGTCATATTAACCAACATCTGACTACTCATGTTCATCTGCTTTGTAAAATTAGACATTATGTTTGGCATCAAATCTAGCATCTTGTCATTGTAATTATCAGGCATGATTTCAGGCATCATGTTAGGCATATTAGGAGCCATGCTGCCCAACATGTCCGACGACAAGTTGGCCAACAAATCGGTCGTCATATTAGCTACAGTATAGTTTTTATTTATCATCGTCATTGTTAGTTTAATCATCATATCGTCTTTTATGTTTGAAATGATATTGTTTTTCATATCTTGTAACATTTCAGCTGATACGTAAGTCTTGTTGTATGTTATGTTTGCTGGCACGTAGCGGTTACTTCTGTTCTCGAGTATCAAAAGGCCGTGGTGATATGTTCTTACTTTAGACAGTCCATACGCATCTACTCCATATATTGTTGAAAGGTCTATCACTGGAGTTTGGAAGTTTATCTGGAAAAAGTACAGGTGTGAAAATTTGAGACTTCTACGGAACTATCGGAGAAAATAATAATGAAAGTATCATGACTAGTTTGAGCAGATTACAAGTGATTTTAGAATTTTAAAAGGGTTTAAAAACAGCCACTCAGACAGCGACAGTACCCCACTCTTCACCGTGAAGGGAAGCGAACGATCATCGAGGGCTGATGGTAGGTCTACCACTGCCCGCCTCACGCTCAGGGCACCGCGCCACATCTCATCAACGTGACTGGTGAGGACTCACATAGTGTGAAAGTCTCGAGAAGAGCTTACTATAGAAATGATCCTATGAAGTAAGGTCTTAACTGTCGCCACCGAACCGACGAGGGTCATTCTTTCGCGGAGAATCTTAACACCGCGATTCACAAAATGACGTCACGGCACAGTGACATCTAGCGGTTCGTTCAAGTATCATTTATTTAATCTTATTAGCCTTTGAAGTCAATTAAAAACTTATTAGTACGTGTATTTTTTTTAGTTTGCGGGTTGTACCTACGTGTTACATAAGGTTAGTGTTGAAAGCAAAATAAAACTATCTAAGTGGAGTCTAAAGATATTTATTTATTAGTTTAATTTATTCATTTGATTTATTGTTAGTTCAGGTCATTAGTAATCGCTAAACAATTAAAATATATAGTGCCACGTGGTATTTTTCTGGAGACTAATTTGTGTATACAATCTCTATGACATTTGGTTACATAGATGCGTAAACGCATCGTTACGTCAGTATGTAAAACGATTTGTTATTAATACGCATTAACATTGAATTAAAATGATGTGTTTTTAATAGGCAGTACAACATGGTATCAAAGACATCGGAGCTAGACATCTGCGAGTCTCTTTCCGAACACCAGAGACGATTGAGAGATTTGATTTTGGATTATTAATATTCCGTTTTCATTTTTATTTTTATTTTCAACCTTTTAATTCTTTAATGCCACAAAATTGTATAACGCTGTCAGATTTTCTTATGTTACCAACTTGTTGTAGGTAATACTGATTCTTAATACTTGTGTTTTTGGTGTTTTTTTCTTGTGAACCATTACAAGTTGTTTTCTATCTCAACTACATATTAAAATTTTTATGTTTTTGTCTTAGCGCCAGTTTCACCATATCCATATAAGGACCTCATAAACTTATGTGACAGATAGTTCGTATAAATTACGTTCTTAATTCAAATTTATCTGGTAGATAGTGGCTATCCAGCAGCAGTAGCCAAATGCCATTTAGCGCTTGTCTACATATAGAATAGAAAACCGAATTACATATATGGAATTGACGTAAATTTTGACACTTGTCAGTGTCATCCCCATACCTTTTGATTTCTACTCTCTCTGTAGACAAGCGCTAAAGTGACGTTTGGCTAAAGGCACAGATAGTATATCGGCTATCCAGATAGATGATAGATTTTAGATTGTGAAACACATAAGTCGATAAATAAAGTGCATGCTGTGACTTCCTTTAATTAAAAGAGTGTACTTACCTAACCTAAAATTTTGTATGATTTTCATGGCATGTGCTGTGCACATCTGTTATCAAAATAAATTGGTTTAAAATTTTCGAGAATAATAGAATGAAATAAAACCTATTGTGTGATTTATGGGCTCATTCAAGGGGCTCAACCCAGTGATATTATCGGTCTTACAATGAAAAAAAAAAAAACTTATGAAAATCGATTCAAGAATGTTTCGTAATAGTGTACAGTAAATTATAATAATTTTATATCTTGTTCCATAGACAGGTCTCAAAACATATCTGACAAAAGGTGGAAGTACTAACTTTATCATTCTCAGAGGGAGAAATAGTAATGACAAAGACAGGGTTCTTAATATTAAGTTAGATATTACGTACATAACAAAGTAACATTTTTTAGTTTTTAAAATGGTTTAAAAACAGCCACTCAGACAGCGACAGTACCCCACTCTTCCCCGTGAAGG